AAAGACGCGCGGCGTTGCCGCGCTGTCCGGTGGATGGGCCATTTTAATAAATGCTTGTGTCATGGTTGTGTCGCAGGCAATATCAGCATCCACTCCATAGCATACTGAATTACTGATATACTCCTAGGTCCTTGACTGAAGCCATACAATTTACTACATGGCACTGCTCAATAGTACTACATTGTGCTCATTGACTGAAGCTATATATACATGCAGTACTACAAGAAATTGCTAATGCACGATCGTGGTGGAAGTACACACTAATTGAAGGAATACAACTACTGCGTGTAGTGGCTCCTACACCATACGACTATCTCCTGAACATCTGCGCTTTGTGCATATACAAGAATTTTACAGCAGCTGGGCCTGCAAACAAATAATATTAAACAAATAGGAATTTCATCTTAATTTCACAAATTGTAGACAAGCAGTCATCAAGGTATAGTAGATGGAAAAGTTGAATCTGATTCTCATAGCAATGGTAAGAGGCTATGTGCATGCAAAAGAATTTCACAAACAGCTAGGCTTGGTAACAACAAATATAAAGCAAATATGTATTTCCATGTCATTCTAATTCTAAAACAATGTATTAGGAATGAAAAGTCAACAATAACTTAAAGACTGCTCGTCCTCAAAGTTTATGTTTATGCTTTGCGAGATTAGTTTGGTTTAGACATCTTCAAATTAACAATTCATGACACACGCACAAGCATCACAGTGGATGTCAAAGAGGACCGGCTAGAAGCAGTACTGCAAAAAAATGGTCTCAAACACAGCCCAGATAAGCATCGATTCATGGCTGTTTACCTCATCGCCTCATTGGCAATCCGTCGAACACCACTTGTGCGCTACCGATGTCGCATCTGGTACGAGGTGGTGCTGCCAAGCAGGTGCCAAAGCCCTCGACGCTGTCGTCACGCCATCTCACTGGAGGCGGCTCGCGCATCTGATGGGGAGAAACAAGCGTGCCTCAGATTGAGCCTCTGTGGTTGTCGCAGCGGAGAGTGACCTATGAGCCACCAGCACTCCTTGGAGCTGTACATTTGTATTATATGGTCAATATTGAGATGTGAGCAGTTTTTTAGGCCAAAACTTACTGGAAATTCAAGTCATCCTGACTTTGAAATAGTATATGTACCTAGCAACTGTCAAAGCTGATAATAGCAAAATGCTGTATTCTCAAACGTAGACTTGTGATGTATTTTTTATATATGTATGCACTATTTAGGTAAATAATCTTGTGCTATATGAGTCCTGCTATTCTAATTTATAAATAACTCAAATAAACACAACAGGTGGGAAATAACATCTTGGTTTTATTACCTTCTGATCAATAAAAATATATAACTGTGAACACCTTGCCACATATCTGGAACGTGAATAGATATTGATATGTAATAGTAGTATGAAAATACAATTGATTAATTGTAGAATAAATCAAATGAAGAATTTCTTTGTACACAATATTTTGTGTCTCAGATGCACATGTGCCATCGTCATTTTCTATCAATATTTTGAGTCCATTTCTACTAGTAACTCGTGATACCGCAACGTATAATTGTACATACGCGAACACTAGCTTTTTTTAATATATTCCCACATTTGCTAGAGTTTGCCCTTGACTTTTGTTTATAGTCATGGAATAGCAAACCTTTATTGGGAATTGCGATCTGACTTTTTACAAATCTAGCTAAATAGATCGACGATAGGATGAGGATTGTTTACCTTTTGATTTTTTTTGCAGCCTTGTTTTGTAGCCACGGGAGCCAAGGACGGCGGCCGACGATCCCGCGCTTGTCAACTCGATTGTGGCAAAACCGGCGGCGATTTGAGAACGTCGGCCAGTGAGATCGGCTTGAGACTATGCTTGTTACCCCGTTTACTTGTTTGGGATTATTACGATCTACACAGCGCTACCAAACGGAATACGAGGAGAATGCTGTGGACGCGGTTTTATAAGGACCAGCAGCCCTCGCGTCTGGATGCGTCCTTTTGTTTTTGTGACGATGTATCTGGAAAGTCCAAGCTAGGGTGTACGTGGACGGTAGGATTTGTTCAAGCACGTGAACGAACGGTTGACAAATATGAACGACGTGGCCCTATCCCTGCTCGGGAATTGTCCGCAGGTTTCGTCACGTAGAGATACAGTAAGAATTCTTCTTTGCTGTCGACCTAATCTATTCAGCTTGTTTTCGGCTTCTGAAGGCTGTTTTGTTGCGTACTCTTGGTAGGATTTTTAATTAAGCCGGTGGAAAAACCTCTACGGAAGCCCTTCCAAAAAGGGCCTTAGATAGACTAGTAAGAATAAGAATTCTTGTTTGCTTTAGACCTGATGTGTGGTTATGTGCGTTGTGTATGTACTCTACATGGATGCGGCACCCGGCTGATGGAGACGGTTGGATCGGACGTTAGCATCGTGGCAGTGGCAGGCCGAACTGCCGAAGAACACACCGGAACCCGCCGTGCGATGCATCTCGATCCTAGTCGTTTTTTTGTTTCCTGCCAAGCTGAAAGAATCATTGTTGAACCAATTCCTACTCCCTAGAAATAAAACGTTAGATGCAGCGGCTATTCATGATGAAAGAAATGCACCAGCTGCTCGTTTACTTTTGTCCCCGAAATATTCCCTGGCGATCTCATCGTTCATGTGCTGGTTTGGTGACACCACTGGACACTGGACAGAGTGTCTTTGTGGTGCTGAACAGGGGAGCCTTTGGTAGATTAGATCCTAACCTGCACTCTCACTCTCTCTGGGTAAACGAGGATTGGATTGATCTGTGAAGCTAACTGAAGTTGGTTGATTTTTTCTTAAAAAAATAACCAAAAGAATTAGGACCTGATGTGATAGCACGGTTGCTACTTGCTGAGGTGCTAGTGAACAACTCCAGAGAAATCTTGTCCTAAGCTGAGTTATCCCCCTGAATGAAAAAGAAAAAGAAAAAGAAAAACAAAACATGCTACCAAATTTTAGAACTATAGGTCACCTGTTGTTTTGAGTTGTCTAATAACAAACTCTACCCAATTATGATTTATGATGGATTATCCCTGCAATTCACCCGGACGGCTAACATCAACCGTCCTGCTCGTTCATTCATTTGTCCCGTTCCATGTTCCGTTAAACTGGCAAAACTTTTCTCAGCTAATCAGCCCTACCAAAAACAACAGCCTATCACTGACCCTGTCACTCCCCCACAAGGCCACAGATCAGCATCATTACCACCTTGTGATCGTCAGAAAGAGGAGGAAAATCGGGCCGCCCTCTTGTGATTTAGGCCCCTTGCATCTGCACTTGCTGCTGCTTGAAGCAAGCATGGCTGTTAGGCTGTTCCACCTGGGCAGCTCACCTCACCTCACCGTTTGGTGCCCTGTAACTGTAAGACTCACCCCCACCACCTTCTCTTACAGCTCACTCTTCTCCAACCACGTCGCTGCCTATAAGTGGCAGCGTCACAAGCCCCCCTTCGATCCAGCTGAACTGCATTGCATGCACACAGCAAGTAACACGTCGCGCCCGTCAGCAGCAGCAGTCACCATGCAGGCCATGCGGAGACTCGTGCGCGTCCTCGTGGTGCTCGGCGTAGCCGTCGTCACGACGTCGGCACAGGGCCCGACGGCGGCGCCGGCGACACCCACGCCGGCGACACCTGCGACACCCGCGGCGCCGGCGCCCAAGGCCGCGACGACGTCCAGCAACATCACGGGCGTGCTGGCCAAGGGCGGGCAGTTCAACACCTTCATCCGGCTGCTCAAGTCCACGGGCGTGGCGTCGCAGATCGACAACCAGGTCAGCAACGGCGGGAACGGGATCACGGTGTTCGCGCCCACGGACAACGCGTTCCAGTCGCTGCCCTCCGGCACGCTCAACTCGCTGTCGGACCAGGACAAGAACGCGCTGGTGCAGTACCACGTCGTGTCCACCGCCATCCCCATGTCGCAGTTCGACACCGTCAGCAACCCACTCCGGACGCAGGCCGGCAGCGCCTCGCCCGGGGAGTACCCGCTCAACGTCACCTCCGAGGGCCAGCAGGTCAACATCACCACGGGCGTCGTCAACGCCACCGTCGCCAACTCCCTCTACTCCGAAGACAGCCTCGTCGTCTACCAGGTCGACAAGGTGCTGCTGCCGCAGAAGCTCTTCGGCACGGCGGAAGCCCCCGGGCCCGCGCCGCTCGCGCCGGCCAAGAAGAAGGGCAAGACGCCGGCCACCGTCGCGGACTCGCCCGAGGCAGAGGCGTCCCCGGACGCGACGACCGCGTCTCTCGCGCCGGCGAGGTTGACGACGGGAGGTGGCCTCGCCGCGGCTCTTGCGCTCGCCGGCGTGTGGTGGGGGCTGTAGTGACGGCGATGAGAGTAGTGTGAGGTCTCCGATCCGGCCGTGACATCCATCATGCATGCCATCTTTTTGTATACTCTTTTTTTGCAGGTCTTGTTGGTCTTTTCGTTTTTACTTTGCCCATTTTTGGATGAAATTATTCTTCCCTGCCATTGAAATTGCTAGGAGTATGTCTTGTAATTGTAATGGTGTAATGTAATGTCGTTGTCTCATTTTTATGTATTTCTACTAAATAAATATGAGTTGTGTATATTCAGTACCCGATTCAATTTGATTCAGTGCTCATAGCACACAAACATGAAACCACGACTTTGTCAAATTGGGCCTAGTTCCATTAAAAAAATCACTCAAACAATGTTGAAGCAGATACATTCGCAAAATCTGGCATACGAAAACAATGAAAATGCAAAGAGAGAAACACAATTCTTTTTACGAGATCCTGCAAATAATAACAATTACAACCTCTCTTGCTAAAAAAATTAAAGAAAAGAGTAATAAAAAGTAGCTTTACAGCCTGTACAAGTCTAAGAACCAAGGAACAAGGCATTCCGTTAAATTTTGTCAAATGCACATCAATCAATCAAGAAGGTTACAGTGAGCTTTCCATGCTCGAAGTCCTTGCATGAGCATTACAGAAACATGGAACAGATACCGATTGCCCAGCTCTTTAGTTGTATATCGATTCATTAGGAAACATATCCCTGTCATCACCGCCGGTTGTTGAAGAATGTAGCCCCCAAATGTTGTGGTAAAGCATGCCCTTATGTCTTCCTCCATATGACAGTCTACCAAGAAAACTTTCTGTAGCTTCAGAATTCCTAGTGCAGGACAGTCTTGGGCAAGCAATCTCTCCAAACTCCTCAGATTGGAGAGCCCTCTCAAACTTTTGTTGTTCCTGACCTTGAGCCAGACCACTGCAGGCAGATTTGCAACCTCTTCGAAGAGCTTGTAGTTTGGGGCAGTTGATGAGCATAAGGCGCTTGAGATGTGGCATCAGGAGGATCTGCTGAGGGTTCATTTGCATCTTCCTGCATAAATCATGCGTGTCCAAAAATCAGCACACTAAGTTGTACATATCAAATATGTGACACAATTCAAGTCTAGGGAAGAAAATAATTTCTTGTCCTTCCCTCATGCCTTGGACTAAAAGGTCTCCATCTTAACTACTGCATCTGCTCCTTTGATCTTCAACACCAGCAGATCAGGCAGTTGTCCAATTGGTGGAATTTGGGGGGCATGAGATGCAATCGTTGAGATGCAGATGTTCCAAGTTTCTGAAAATAGCCGATGATGGTGAAGCTTGGGGCCATGATGGAAACTTGGTCCCCAGAAAACCATGAAAAAATGGTGGGTCAGATTTGGTGGTGGCACAAGATTTTCATAAAGTGTAGTCACATTTCTCTGGCCTTCATTTGTCCCATGAAGTGCTTCATCGGATATGCTCCTGACTATAGTGCAGCCAAGTGAGTTCTTTTAACCTTGTCTTGTCCTTCAGAACTATACCTACTACTTTCACTCTTCAAGCTTATCAATTCGGAGACGCCTAAGCTGTGAGAGGCTTTGCAATTCGTCCAGCTTGAATCCATTCGAGCTTTCAAAAACTCCCATGAGCATGTCAAGATGGCGCAATCCCCCAAATTCCACTTGGCATCGAAGTAATCGAAGTCTCATTGAGGCGAAGAAACCTCAGGCTTGATAGTTTTGCGATACTATTCGGCAACACCTGAAGCTCACTGCAACCCAGCAATGAAAGATAGTGAAGATTTAGAAGTCGCCCTATTGACTTTGGGATTCCCTGGAGTTTTGTGAAGCTGAGATCCAGAACCCTCAGATGCACCGAATTCATCCAGAACCCTCAGATGCACCGAATTCTTTATAGATTTAGGGACTGCCCTGATGCTTGTCTCACTAAGAATGAGAATGTGAAGATGTTTGAGCCTCCTGAACAATTCACCATTTATGATAGAAAAGTTTGGGCTGATAAACAGTGCCAGCGTACGCAAACGGACAATCTTTTTCAGTGCAGCTGGCAGTCTCTCTCCAACATTAGCAATCCCCACATGGCGCAACATTGATACAGAATCTGTAATCGTGCGTGCATCAATGAACATAGACTCATCTTTTGACAGATACTGGGATAGTGACCTTAGAAGGTCGTGCGTTGTAGATCTGCTCTTGTCAAGATAACTTGGGTGTAGCTGCAAGAGGCTCCTTCTGACAAGGTCATCGTGGCTCACCAAGCCTTCAGCAGCCCACCAGTAAGAAATTGCATCCTTATGAATTTGGGAGCTCGCAGGGAATATTGAGCAGAAAAGGTAGCACTGCTTAAGTTCAGAAGACAAATCCCTGTAGCTCCAATATACAGCCTGTTCGGGAGGCCGTATCGTATCGTGGATTATTTACTGCTGGCTGGTTTGGTGTGGGAGAAAAACACGGTTCCCGGCTAGAAATTTACGATCGTTTACGAGCAAACGAACAGGCTGATAATAGCCCTAGCATGTACTCGATCTGGAAGCCCATCCAAAGACCATTCACAATCATGTACCCCTTCCCATTCAGCTATAGTACTCTTAGATGGCAAGAGGAAGGCCATTCTTTCTACCATTTCAATTTCCTGCTTTCTGAAAATCTTTCAGTAGCAATTCCTTTTTTTTGGGGGGGACTTTCAGTAGCAATTCTAAGCCAGTGTCCTCGTTCATCTTTAGTACACGGTGAATGTGTACTGCTCTTGTTTCTTGTAATACCCCCCCCCCCCCCCCACCACCACCACCACCAATCATCGGTCTTCCCAGATATGCAACGGACAAGATAGCTCACAAGTTCCGCTCTGTGGTTTGCTGCTCCGCACTTCCTCCAGCTTCCCGGATCATCTGCTTCAGAAAATTGATCTCAGCAAAAGTTTCAGTAATACATAACCAAATCCTGAGCTGAAACTCCTCTATCCTTGGATCATTATATATCTTCTTAGCTAAGGTTGTTTTACCAATTCCTGGCATCCCTTCGATGCCAAAAACACAAAATTTTGAATCCACATCTCTGAAAGCAATCAGTTTCTCAACCATCTCATTGGTACTGTTTACAATATCTGCCCCAACAACAACATCTGGCAAAAGAATCAGTCTGATGTCTACATTAGGAACGCTAGTATGCTCAGGGATAATTCTATCCGACCAAAGCATAACTCTTTCCTTCAAAATTCTCTCAAGTCTTTCGTTAATGTCCTTAATTCTATAACCAATATCACAGTTGAATTGAAAGTCTCCAAGACAAGAGAAGAGTGGGGATTTGTACCCGTTGGTTCAGCATAGAGGATAGCTGGCTATGGGATGATCTCTGGCTCTTGACGGAACAGAGATCCATCAGATCATCAGCATCATACATGATGTCTTTCAGCTTGTTCAGCCAGGTGTTGATGGCACTATCATGGATCCTCTTCACCTCAGCATCAACAAGTACGCTCTTCATGTAGTCCAGACGACCTTTGAGCACTTGAAGATGTTGTGATACACCAAGGGCTCTCATCACCCTGTCTTCAATCAGATCAGCTAACTTACTAGTGTATCTGGCTATGACTGCATCTGTGATCAACACCATCTTGTATTCTTGTGTGGGAGTTAGTTGATTCCTTCTGAGACTTGTCAACAAACAGAACGCTCTCTGGTCTCAATGTTTGAGATGTGAAATGATAATGTCAACGTGTTTAGCCTAAGCATCACAGAAGGCCATAGATGCAACCCTCACAAAATAGTAGTCTAGAGATGAAGTGCATGTTTAGATTCCTTCTCTCCTTTTCTGCATAGAAGAGAAGGTAGTCATGTTCAATTCCAATAAATTAGCATTACATGTAGTTGTAGAGTGTGTTGACATTCATGTCCGAATGTCCGATGCTAGAGATGAAATGATAAAAAATGACATGGTGTTTTAATGAAAGCATATTTTGGGGTACCGTGCTGTGTTTGAAAGTACTAGTACATAACTTATCCCGGTGATGTATTCTGTATTCATTTGGAAATAAAAGGCAGGCTGGTTCATCTAAATTGCATCACCATATATATCTGGGTCCCTGGAGCAGAACAAGTTGCAGAGGGGGTGAGATTGTATTATCTGCGAGAGACTGTGATGTTATCGTCGTAACACTGGTGCAGTGGGATTTGGGGGCAAAATACATAAACTAGCTATCAGTAGTCTCCCAAGCAGACGCACCATTTAGTATCAATAGTTTTGCTTTGAGGATGCAACAACTAGTGATGAAGACTTTGTCCACTGCGCGCGGCAACAAGAACACGAGATGTTCCATTGGCAGTGTAGGATGGAGCAGGGAAACATGGGTGAAGAATTTCTACGTACGCACCATGCATGACATCCGTGCTTCCCTGTAGTCTGTAGATGAGCATCTCTCACCGGCATTCCATCGAACGCCTTTCATCTCTGTAGAAGACGGCAGGCAGAATACAGGCTGACATACAGGCAGATTGGCAGAAGCAAAGAAGAGCGAATGAAACGAAACAAGCGGAGGTGGGAGAAAACGAAGAGGATGTGCATTCCTTTGACATGACCCTGACTGGCAGGCGCCAGATCGGTAGCCACTCGTCAGCGCGTGGTGTTGGCCCGGGAGCAAGATTAAGAACGATGAGATCAGACTATTCACTATTGTCCATGGCAGAGGGGATTAGAGCCTTGCGGCTTGCCCATTCTAGTGATGACGCGATCGCGACAAGAGGGAGAGAAAAAAAAAACTCCATCCGTCTGAAAATAGAAAGGTCGGTTTGACTTAGCGTGGAAATTCTTCTCCTGAACTCTCAAAACTCCCCTAATGACCTAGCTAATTTGTCATGTAACTGAAAAGTAAATGGCCTCCGCATTGATATCTGTCCCCCCCTGATCTTAAGTTCTAGCTTGGTCACTAAGGAGACTTTAGCATTTCACCCATCATCAAAAACTGATTTCGCACTTTTACCGTCCCGTAGAGTGGTTTCGCTCGTTTGTCATTATGAGACTGATGTAACCCACTAAAATACATTTTTGGTAGTTTTAATTCGTGGAAGAAAAAAAAAAGACACATCCTTCGAGTTCTACCCCTGCCTGCTGTTTTCTTCGTCAAAACGGATCGAACAACAAAACAGATCGGCCCTCTCTCCCATTACTCCCTCTCCTCCATCCCGGTTCCCCAGTGGCATCAGCCGGCACAGGCCTGCCACCACGCCGCTCCCCTCCCGTGCCGGCGCTGGCCTTCCCCCACGCCGCCTCCTCCCCTGCCGGCACAGGCCTGCCCCCATGCCGCTCCCCTCCTGTGCCGGTGCTGGCCTTCCCCCACACCGCCCCCTCCCTTGCCAGCACAGGCTCGCCCCCACGCCTTCTCCTCCCCTGCTAGTGCAGACTCGCCCCCACGCCTCCCCCTCCACTGCAGGCGCCGGCTTAGGCCGCAGGCTATAGACCCTCCTAGCCAGCACCGCTCCACTTCGGCACCACCCAAATGAATGGGAGCAGCAGTTCGACGGGGGCCATCTAGAGGGCTAGGAGTAGAGTCCTTCTTCCTCTTGTCCACTGCGACAAATGCAAATGCCGTATTGTCAAGGTATTGATAGCAAAGACTGGGAAGAACTATGGGCGCATGTTCTACATCTGTCCAACTCGAACGGTTTTATGATTTGTTTCATTTTGTTTGTAATTCATGTGTTGTATTGTTCACACAATTGAATTTTCTTTGCATTGGCGACAGATGGATGGTGGTGGATGTGACTTTTGGAAGTGGCAGGAGGACTATGAGCAATGGCTGGTTGATAACAAGCATGTGCCACCCTCTTATTAGTCTGTTTTTTAGAGCACTAAGATGCCACAACCAGAAGAACAGTCCAAAGGAGATGGTGGACAACCAGAGCAGTTTAAGGACCTGACAGGAATAGCTAGAGAGATTGTGTTCTTGCTGAAATGCTTGATATTAGTTTGTGCATTTCTACTAGTGACATTTGTATGGAATTGTTAAGAGTGGGTGATGAGTGTGCTTTCTCTGCTTGTAGCACTTGCGTGCTGAAATAAATGAATGGAAGTACTCATTAGTGACTTGTATCATATACTGTGTCATGTGTGCTGTGTCTTTTGTGACCAATTTTCTATAGAATTTTGACATAATTTTGGATAGAATTTTGACTGAGTTTTGACTGAATTTTGACAGAATTTCAACACATTTCAGCCTCCATCTCCTCCAATCTCCTTGCCAGAGTCGACATGATGTCCATTTTCATCAATCTCCTTGTGCAACCCAGCTGCTTTCGAATCTCCTCCAGTCTTCTTGATAGAATCAAGATATACGGCCTGATTAACAAAACAGTAACCATGAGGATTCTGTAAACTAAAAAGAAAAAGGAAATGGCATCAAACAGGACCTGTTTCTTTATTTTCCATGCAGTAAAGTCCATATATTCATTGCTCCGCATCCTAACTTCATGGAAAAAACACTCAAGACATATGACTCCATGTTCCTCACAGAAGATTCTAATATCCATAAGAGAATCATGTAAGCTATGAAGGAGAGTTCGATCCTGGCTCAGGATGAACGCCGGTGAGCTTCCATTATCCCCTGCAAAAATTGCAGATGCAACTTTCACCAAGTGAACAAAAAAACTAAAGGTACATCTGACACAAACAATAACTTCCTTACCCGCCCAATATGGCAGAACTACAAGAACAAGTTGCACCATCTTTCCATTAATTTCAAGAAATCTAAGTAACGCAGCCAGCTCAGCCAGAACCAGAACATTCTCAAGTTGAAACATAGACTTATTGGACACTCTGAGAGCAAGGAAACATTTAATCCCTCTGGTCATAACAATATAGTGATATAGTCCATTAATTAATAGGATTAACATGGTCTCCAATATGACAATTTTTGACAAGCTAAATTAGTTATTAATTATCTTAGAAAAGGTTATATATTATGAATTTCACATGAATCATGCTTTTGAGTATTGGTAATCAAAAGCTAAAAAAAAAGTTTAACCAGTAACAATCACGGATGGAACTGTATATATATATGTGTGTGTGTGAGATCAAAGTATTGATCAAAAGAGCTTAAGGAGTCAACACATATGAGAATGACATACATGAGATCTCCATACATGGTACAAGTTCAAATATAAGGTCCATGACTGCTCAAATAACAAAAAGCATAAAAGTTCAAACACAAGGTTTACACATGAGTCATACTAACATAACTAAAAATACACATGACTTCACACATTAGTCATAATTTTCAGGTGGTCTTCTTTTTTCTTGGCATCAGCTTCTTTGCAATTGTCTTCTTCCTTGTTTTTCCCTGGGTCTTGCTGGGAGTACTTGTGTCTTCTTCCATCAGACTGTGCATTGGCTGAGCACTTGTGCCTTCTCCCATCAGACTGTGCATTGACTGAGCACTTGTTTCTTCCTCCATTAGAAACGAAAGTTGTCTGTCATTTGAAAAAAAGTTTGTAATTAATGAAATAGAATATTTGACATATGAATGAATAACAAAATATTGGACACTTGTACCTTCGTGTCAACCTATTAGGACTATCCTGCAGCACTGTTTCTCTTGTTCTAGTGGGACTTGTGACTGGTGGGACTTGACCACATTTATTGTCAGGCTCCCCAGAAACATGCTTTTTTGCCCTCTTTGTAGGGACCTTAGCATTTTGGCCATACTAAGTAGTATTCGGCCTAGCCTTCCTTTTTGGTGGTTTCTTAATCCCATTAAGTCTGCACTTGTAACTAGTTTCTCCATGTCCTAATTCTCCACATCTCTTGCATTTCCTTTTCCCTCTAATCAGTTGCCTCTTACCTTTAGTAGCCTCAGCGGCCTCCAATTCAGCATCTTTGTCAGCTTCATTTGCAGCCTCTTTGGCAACCTTCTTGGTTTTGCCACCACTGCCTCCTTCCAAACAACCTTTAATTCTCAGTTTTCTGTACCTTCCAACTCTTTTTTTATCTAGTGGTGCTCCAACAGGAAAAAGGAATATCAACTTTTGGCCACTATGTCTTATCTAGAAGTGGTTCTATCAGCCTCTTATATGCATTTTTGAACCTCTGCACAGAGTAATAGTCATGAACGAAGTCCTCCAACTTTACATCAGCACTTTGTTGGGCTGTTATCAAGACCAAAGCATGCCGACAAGGCTTTCCAGTGTGCTGCCATTCAAGACAGGTACATTCATGCAAGTGTGACTTGACAACATGTCTATTATGTGTGCTGATAGTGTCATGTACTTCTACAGCAAAACAACCTACCTTCACAACGGTCAGGTTTCCTAATCCCCTAGTCCTTGCTTTCAGTATAGTTAGGATAGTAGGTAGGATGTTACCCTCAAGTTTCTCTGAAATCAACCTTCTCTTATTCCATAATACCATTATTATCTCTCTAATTTTGTCAGCAAGCTCAACTACAGGAAGATCCTTCCAATCTCTAATCCAGTTATTAAAAGACTCTGCAAGATTGTTGATAACATAATCGCACTTAATTTCTTGATTGAAAGCACTTCTCATCCACAACAAACAATTTGTGGTGGTTATGAAGCCATTCCAATACTTCAGGGCAAGCTATCACAATTTCATGGAAGAAATAC